TCTCCTCCTCTCTCTCTCTCTCCTCCTTCTTCCTCCTCTCTCTCTCTCTCTCTCTCTCTCTCTCTCTCTCTCTCTCTCTCTCTCTCTCTCTCTCTCTCTCTCTCTCTCTCTCTCTCTCTCTCTCTCTCTCTCTCTCTCTCTCCACAGGAATACAAAGCTGGTACCACGAATTGAATCACAGGACGCAGTGCCTGAAACAAACAACAGGTAATATTTGTACAGTAGATAAATTATTAAAATCAGGTACACGTGTATATGTATTTATGTAGATTGTCTTGTTCAAAGACTGACGTGTTGTTCACAGGACTAGGATGTATAATGATATCCCAGGTTTAACCCATGAGGTAATCTCATTACATTTTTGGTCTTATTTGCATGATTAATACGAAATTGTCATGATTCCCTAGTGGTTAATGACGAGAGTTTCATACAAGTTCGTTAGATATGTGAGTTAGGCAAAATTTAACAGCACTATGCATTAATTCTGTAGTGTAAATGTGCATAATCAACAATGAAATGTTAATATGGAATTCTGCTAAACTATAGGACTTCCTCACATACAAAATATGTAATCAGATAGAGAGGACCATCAATTGAAATAGATAGAATTGAAATAGATGTTAATTACAACCTCCTATTTTAAAGAATTGAGGCAAAATCAAACAACAAAATTTATAAAAGCAATAAATATTTTATGGAGGTTTAACCTCATGTTTGCTATCTTACAGTGGTATATATGTTTTCATTTTCTTACCATTGCTTACATCTTCTTTGTTAAGCTCACTGTAGTTTCTTTCGTATACACAGACTCCTGTTCTTGACTATTACATAGCATTTATGCTTTATCAAACCAACTCATACAGTGTTAAGCATTTTGCGTATCCAACAAACAACACAGATGTATTGCTGTTGTGTTTCTACCAGTAATAGTTTCCGCAATCTTTCAAATGATTTACTTCTCAGTAATATATATATATATATTACAGTCATCTATTTTAATATTATGACTAGAAGCTGTACGCATTTTTGATCTAGTGTTAACCACCAGAATGTCATGTGAAAAACAAGAATCACATTAACAAATAATATAGCATAATAATATATTTTGTTAGACGTGCGTTTTTTTTTCCTTCTACAGTACTTGTACAGTATTACTGTACCATATTCTCATCAAAGAAATTTAAAGTGTGTAGAACCCAGTGCTTGTTTACCACATTTCTTACAATTTCAGGCCTTTTGTTTCACAGTCAACTAAAAAAAAACATTGGATACCGTCTCACAATAGTGATGAGAGACCTAGGCACGCCCTGTAAAGAAATAAACGAAAAAGTTACTATTGATAACAAGGGGGAATAGATAGTCGTAACTTAAAGAAAATAAGAATGGAACAAGAATCCTTTGAAATGTGCATGTCTCTTGTATCAGTAAATTATATTATATTTTTGTGTGAAGTACCTCCTGCGACCTGGCAGATGAAGCGTAGTCTGAGGCTGCATGGAAAGTCAAACCACTTTGGTACCCCGGGGTTGTAAGCGACGCAGTCGAAGTCGTTTCTCCGTTTATTTGGTTGTGCCGGCGCCCACGAGTTGTACTTCCCAAGTGCAGAACCATCCACCCACTCAAAGTTTCCTTCTTTCCGCTGATCGTGCAGGCCGATCCAATGGGCAAAACCCATGGCATGTGTGGACATCAAAGAGATGAGAAAGTCGTTGGTAGCAGCGTCTCGGGGCATGGCGAGGGTGCCGCCTTCTTCACGACAGGTCGCAGCCGCTTCCTTGAAATTCTTCGGTGTGGTAAAGACCTTGTAGCAGTTTCCACGCCATGCTGTATAACCTCTGTGACAGGCAACTTGAAAAAAATATTTTTAGAAATATATACATTTTGTATATTAGAATTTGTTTTTAAATCGTTCTCAAGTCAGGTTAGGTTACGGTAACCTGGTACTCAGTCTATCGTATTTGGGGCTCTAACAGTTTTCCCCCGCCCAGCTCAACAGACCGCCTGGTACAGGCCTGGTAGGAGTGTTACGCCTGTAATAGAATTTGGCACGCCGGGAGTTGATTTGTAGTGGGGCTAATCAAACTCCCGCCATGAAAAACCTATCGGGAGAACCTAGCTCAGGCCGGCGGGGAAGAGCTTCAGCAGCCCCGAAGAAAACCCGCCCCAACCACGATAGACAGGTTAGGTTACGGAGGCTTCGCTGAAGGATCTTATCTAAACCTTACTAATAGTATGTACATTCATCTTTCTTTCAAGATGTAGATGTGTGTGTGTGTGTGTGTGTGTGTGTGTGTGTGTGTGTGTGTATTCATGACTGTAGTTTGTAATATGCGCTTGCCACAATTACGTAAGAGTAACTCCAAAGAATGATGATCAATCGAGGAGACAGGAACTGCAGTACACTATATTTAAATTTGCTAGGACAGGAAGTTATGCCTTACCATCATCTGATCCAGATGTTTGATGTTTAGGTAGTCCAGCAGGGCACACTGTGCTTCCTGGTGGCCCGGGAGGACCCATCAACCCTCGTGGCCCGATCGGTCCTTTGAGCCCCCTCTCCCCAGGAGGCCCGGGTGGTCCAGTACAAGCGGGCCCCCTGGCTCCCTTTTCTCCTGGAGGGCCCGCAGGTCCGACAGACACAGGGCCAGCTGGCCCCATGGCTCCCTTTTCTCCTGGAGGACCAGGAGGCCCGACAGACACAGGGCCAGCTGGACCTATGGCTTCCTTTTCTCCTGGAGGACCAGGAGGCCCGACAGACACAGGGCCAGTTGGACCTATGGCTTCCTTTTCTCCTGGAGGTCCAGGAGGCCCGACAGACACGGAACCAGCCGGCCCCATAGCTCCCTTTTCTCCTGGAGGTCCAGGAGGCCAAGCAGGTCCCATAGCACCAGGGCCAGTGGGCCCTAGCGGTCCCTCTCCCCCTGGAGGTCCCCCTAGAATATCTCCCACAACAGTAAGGAAACTACAAATCATCTGACGAAAAATATAGAATACACGACTTTGCCTTATACAAGACTTTAGAAAACCGGCTAAATACTTAGCGGGGATAAAGCGGTTTAATTTAGCCTATTTGAGTTCATTCCAGGCTAAATGCAACGGGTTTATGCCCGCTAATTATTAATCCGGTTTCTAAAAGTCTGGTATCAAAAATGGGAAGATTCTGGTTTCAAATAGGTATGAACGACATTATAGGACACTGGCTTACCTTTCATCCCGTCCCGTTCGCCCACCTTATCAGAAAGCGTTAACAGTCCCTCGGAAAGTTTCAACACTCTCACAGACAGTTTTGCTAGGTCGTTAGAAAGGGTGCTGACTTTCACTGTTTAAAACAATACACAGTTACGTTTTTATCAGTTTTGCCACAACGCTGTATACTAAAACTGAATAGGGATCATCCTTATATAAAGTACTTCAAGTATCGGCTGTAACGGATACAAAGAGCCGACCTGCAAAATACATCACTTAATTGCCATGTTGCTCTAACTGAACATGGGTTAACATACTTCAGGTATCGCCTGGACATGTAACGGATACAAACAACTGACCTCCGTGAATAGTTTCGTTAGGTTGGTAAATCACTGAATTAAGAGATTATTTTTACGCAAGCAAGAGGCCTTATTCAGCCGACGTTTCGGTGACCTTCTGTCACATTCCTTGGGGCAATTCTGACTGGTTCAAATTGCATAACACAGGAATCGCTTCTTACTACATCTACATACATACATACATACAGTTACAGGTGACGTTACTTACAATGCGATCCCAAACGTACAGTAGTGTAATATATACATAAATTGGCATTGGACAAGTGAAAAAAAGCAGAGCAAATTAAAATCTACCCAAACGTGACTGAGTCTATACCCCCCTCCCTCGACAGGAGTGAATTTCAACTGACCTGCAAAATACGGCATCAGGATGGCGACTAGTAGGCCAAACAAAAGGCCAGTGACTTGCAACAGCTTCTTCCGGAGGCTGCGACATTTTGTCTTCTTGGCAGCGTCAGCATCATAAGCTGCATCTGTTTGAAAAGCAAGATGGTTTCTTCCTTATGGTTTGAAAAACAAAGTTTATTATCACAAACTACGTACTCGTGCAATGTGGACACACAAGTGAACGCGAGTTGTAGTTCAAACTATACCTAAATTATTTTAAGAAAGCACAAAACCTCAAAAAGTTTAAAAGCATTGGTTATCTTTTCACAGATATTTCTGGGCACATTTTTAGTCACCAATTTTGAATCATGCATCCTAACTCTGTCTTCATTGACCATTACAGTATGTGGCAAATGGCACATATATTTCCTTCGTCCCATGACACACATCATTTAATGGAGACATTGCATACGTAACACAATCTACTGGCGACAAATAAACAGCCAGGAGATCTCCCCAAATAAAGCTGCATTATGTAACATCGGGGCGATACAAAGAGTGAATTTTCTGTTCATTTCTTTACAAAGTAAATTGAATCATCCCTATTCCATTGAAAACTAGAGTCTCACGATCTCATACCTTCGCCAGATGATGTTAATCTTTATGACTGACAAAGATAATTCCTCCTGATTATGCAAATAGGATCCTCATTTGCATGAATTATATCAGTTGATCATATTCTCCATCAAAAGACAGCCTTATTTTAACAAAGAAAGCCAATCTATTATTTCCTCATAAATTATGCAAATGAGGTCCTTATTTGAATAAGTTATGTTTAATGATGTTCACCTTCACTTAACTTTCAAATACCCCAAGTATGAAATTCCAGGCAGTTACCATTATGGAATTATAACATTTTCTCATTAATTATGCAAATTAAGTGTTAATTTACATAATCAATATCTGCCTGTGTTTCTCTCGTTCTCAATTACATATGTCACAAGCTTGAATAGTCCTTGTAATGCAGCAGATTTATAGAATTTTCCCATTAATTATGCAAATTACATCCAGATTTGCATAATTGTCACATAATTATGTCAAATGTCACTTAAGCTACCTACATACCAAAAATCACGACGATCCGTCCACCGGTTCTTGAGTTATCCTCTTTTTAATATTTTCAAACAGATAGCCCTGCAGTTCCATAGCAAACTCACGTCACTTCTTCCCCAGCAAAAGAGCTACCTACCATTCAAATTTCATCACCCCAGCATGTCTAGATCATGAGATATCAAAACCGGAAGTTCAGCTGCAGTACCATAACAAGACGCTAGGGGGTCCAAAATCTAATCATTCCAGGTCTGATCAAGACCTACCCACCTACCAAATATCAAGATAATCCATCTAAGCTTTCTCGAGTTATGCTGTTGACACACACACAGACACACACACACAGACACATGGCCAGCAAAACATAACCTTCGTCAATTCTTGGCGAAGGTAATAAGTGTCATTCAGGAAGTGGAGGTGCCAAAACATGACGCCTTACGGGTGTGTGTAAAAGTTGGAAACATAGCAATCAGCGATCATGTTTTTTTTTTACATTCTGGTAGTTTGTGGTGGCACCAAAAACAGTGCGCCTCATTTGGGCTGTTTTAGAAATGTCAGAAATGTGAGATAATTGCACAAATATGTTGAGTAAGTTACACGAATATTTTTTCAATTAATATATTTCAATTTTGGGGTGCAAAAATGTTAAACGATGCCCCTCTGATTAACCGAAGCTGAAATAAGTAAGGCCACAGCAAGAATTTTTATGGATGACATCAACGCGCGCATTAATTTTCTCCTGATTTTGGAAAAAAACAAGAAATTTTGTTGCCTTCTGACAGTGGTTAAGCCTATTCGCCATTACTAGTGCGCCTGCGCGGAGTTTACTTAGCGACGCAGAATTGGAGATAAACAAACCCGCGGCCTCCATCGTCCCCAGCGCCAGCGTATGTCTCGATTTCCAGCTTACACACGGCGTTACCGGTGGTGGCCCGCCTTGGGCTGAGTTCCAACGATGTTCTGGACCTATCTTGCCTAAAATATCGCGATATCTTTATCTTCAAGTGGATTTACGGTACGTTTTTTGACGGTATCCAAGCTAGCGCTAGCGCCTAATTACTTATGCATGCCCCCCTCCCCCATCCTGCACGCCTTCCGTCTTCACGTTTTCCGCTCAATTTTCCGGTCCAATCTCGATAAAACGAGTTTTGGAATACCTTTTTTCGTGTAAGAGTGGTTATTTGTGTAAGATAATGGTGGAATTTTTCAGTTTTAGTCGGTAAAAATTGTAAATAAACTGCATGAGCTTTGTCTTCAGAAGACCGATACACTACGTGTTCTTGTGTCACCCCAAGCACATAGAGCTTTCTAACCACAATCCTCACCGTCTCACCACGACATTATTACCGATTAAAATAATGATTTAGGAATAGTACAAGCAGTGATGACATCTATATGTTTATAAATATTTAGTGTTGGTTTTCGTAGCGGGATACGGTAGGGCCATGGGGGTTTTTGTGCATGCAAATGCCATTGCATTAGTGCATTCAAGACTTGATGTTTTGAACGTAAATCCATCAACTTTTGGTTCAATTTTTCTCTCTTCTTCTTTTTACAGTGTTACTTTCCCGACCTCAACATGAAGCTGTGTGCAGTAGTGAATTGCAGCAATTCAACTTACCATCTAGAAAAATGGAAGAGACATGCCAAATACATGGTACAAAAAGTGGACCATTTTCCTATGAGAAGAAAAAAACCTCATGCTAGGAGAAGAGGGAATAAACTTATGAACAAGCTTGAAGCCAAACCCAGATGGAATATACTAAAAATACAAGTACACTTAGGTTCTGAAATGGTTTCATGAAAGTATATTGTAACCCGCACATAAACAGTGCTGCAAATTGTAATCATGACAGATATTTTATGTACTGAATTTTGATAGTTCTGTGCAGTAATACTGCTAAACTGGTACAGACTTTTAGTCTAACAAGGGTCTGCTGTAAATAGATTCAATATGATTATCTTTTCACTTATTAACTTGAATTAGTGGAAAATAATATATTTGAACATGATGTCAAGTCATTAACACTATATTTACCACTTAAGATACCTTTTTCCGCATGCAGTTGAGAAAGCTGTGGTGAACTGGTGTAGTTGACTCCTTCGTGCCTGCACCACAGGTGCTCCCAGTGATGGTCTAAGTACTAGTACTTAAGTTTAGATCTTTTCCACTGACTGTTGACCATAAGATCAGGTGTATGTAGAGAACTCCAGTCATTTACACTACTTACACCAAACACCTGACCCCTGCGTTTGGATCTTGAAAGTGGAATATTTAATTTGTAACTACTCTCTTGTTGTTTTTCTGACCAAACACAAGAAAAACAAGTCAGTTAACTGCATCGACAGTACTACATACTCACTCACATTCACTATCCGGTTTATTGTCTAAATACTAAATAATATTTGCTAGACAGCATAGGTTGTACGATGGCGATTACTAGATTACTGTAAACATTCACACTGTGATAGAAAACATACAAGCACCGTTAAACATAAACTTACTGTGTTAACACACAAACAGCTCTGCAATCAAAGTGATGTAGAAAATATAATGCCACAGCACTTGGCTCAGATAGTTGATGAAGACAGATATAGTTGAAAACTCAAATTTCTTGAGTTGGAGAACAGTTTTTTTAAATAAAATATGTAACTTACCAACTCAGATAACCTTTCAATTACTATTTCCCTGGACACTGATTGTACTGTTACATACATGTATATACTACATGTATAAAGAAAACAAAACAAGCACCATTTTGATATTTTCTTATTCCCATATCTCTCTATATGTGGACAGCACTTAATGAATGGTGCATAGGAAATATAATATTAAATATACAATGCCATATATGTTGAGAAAGACCTGTACACTAACACAAGTATTACTGGCAACATGCAACAATCCTTTACTAAACACAAGGTTCTTCAAAGAAAATTAATGCCATGGTTGCTTGAATACTACTGTTATGTCTTGGGTTCTGTATCCTGGGTCTGTGGACAAGTTCGTCTCCGCGGCCAAGACAGTGTGGACTAAGGAAGTAAGATGTGCCTAGTCGTTTGAGGAAGCAATTTCTGTCTGCAGTTGGGGTAATATGGT